AACTAAGTACAGGAATGAGTGTCCTTATATATCCTTCGCTTCCTACCATTTCGTATACCATCTGTGGTAGGACCGTGGTCGCAATATACCATTCTGTATACCATCTGTGGTAGGAGATATGGTAGCGTATACCATTCCGTATACCATTCATGGTCGACAGATGGTAGGAGATCACGTGACTTCTCCTTTGAATATCAGCTAGGATCCTTGTCCCCTTCTGCATTTCCATCATAATATATCATCCAATGATTCTGCCTTGACTCCCCGCATAGTCACGTGAGACTGATGTGGCTAGGTCTGTAACAACATGATGCAAGCTGCCGGAGCGATAGAAGAATTGAGTAAAATTACTCAAGAAACGCAGATGTGACCTTTTTGTAATAGCTAGGTCGGTGTCTTGCAATCAGTTGTCTTCTATTCGACCCATTAAGTACGCGCCCAAGCAGGGATAGTCCACACTAATCAAATAATAAGGAAAGAACACCATGTCCAGGGGCAAGTCAGTCATGCAGATGAGGATCTTATTGACAAGAGCCTGTCGCAATATTCGCCATTTCCCTGCCATGGTGTTTTCCTGACTGATCTGGACGAAAGGGCAAGAGCCTTGAGGGTAGGGAATCATGAGGATCATCGACGAGGGGGTTTTTGGCAACTCAGAGACCCTGTTCCAAGGAATACTTATCGGTTCTGCCCGATTGAATGTGTGAAGTGGAAGAGTGGAAACAGTCTGTCTCGGCTCACACAGCTCTATGAAAGGCCGTTCCTGGAGCCTTCTCTTGGTGTGGATCCTTTTTGTGTACTCTCGTCATCGTTGCTGGGTTCTGCAGGCAATATGTACTTGTATTTGGGTCCGTCGCTTGGACAGTGCAAACTAGGCTGAGCTCACCAACGCGAGAGATTCGTTGTGATTGATATCCTCTCGGATAATTTTGAAGCCTCTCCCACATATAGCCAAAATTTGTTGCGTTCAAAAGACGCCAGGTGCTGTACATGGTTCAAAAGGGACATCTGCAATACATCCGCGCTCGATAGACGGTGATGTATGGAAATATGTGACATGCTCTCTCAATATACATAGCCTAGTGGGGACCACTATATTGCTTGATATATATATATATATATATATCTGGAGCCAGCTGCGGAGATTTTTATAAGCATGACCAGGGCTATGGAGCGACTGACATTTTTTTTTTCAAACATCTCAGTCCCACGGACTTGACTCTTGGATTGAGATTCCTCTCAAGGATGGCCTAAATTTTTTTTTTTTTTTTTTTTTAAAAAAAAAAAAAGAAGGAAAAAAAGAAAAAGAAAGAAGAAAAAGCCGCATCGAGCTTCGCGGCACTATCAAGGACGATGGAAGCACCCAACTACTGTTTCCACCTCATCTGCACGCCGGACCTCGATTAGTATATATGGTGTCCAGGAACCTCTCATGAAGGTCCTTTTGCGGGACAACACGCAGAGAATCACCCCTTCACATGATGACTCCTCTTCGGGTTTTCTTTTCTTTTATTTTTTTATTTTTTGCAAGTTACTATATCATTTCCCAACAGAGGTATTGATGCAGAAATATCTTTTGAAAGATTTCACAAGGAAAGTAGAAAAAATAATGACGGTGCTTGATGGTTGCACTACTTTGTGTGATTTATATATAATACATTAAAAAGCCGTTAAATTAATCTCTGAACCCCTGATGGTCTAGTTGGATATGACGTTCGGCTGTAATGGAATATTGTAACCGAAAGGTCGCTGGCTCGATTCCGGCTCGGGGGAGGGTTATTTTTTTTTTTCTCTCTTCAAATTTCCCGTTTCTCGATCCTTTTCCTTTCCATTCATCTGTTCTTATTTCCCATTGGTTGCTACCTTAGCTGTCAGCCAAAAAGGGTGTCTTGTGGTTTGGCAGTAATATTTCCCTCAAAAGCCGCCCCCGAGCGCAGCTCGGGGCCAGCGGCTTGTATATGCGATGGTAACATACTTGATACCCAATTGCAGTAATATGCTGCATTACGGACTCGTCGGAGCTAAATAGCCTTTTATTTATAACTTTTCCAGCACGGTTGATATTTTCGCCGTTATGCCGGCCCATCATCCACTTTGTTGCGGGTTGGAAAGTTGCAACATTCGAGCGAAAGGAGAAAAACGAGAAAAAGCAAGTCTTTCGAATAGCAGATGACTATACCCGGGGGGTTTGGCTCTCCATGTACGCTAGCTTTACCGACATCCTCTTACTTGGTTGGGTCTTGGTAATCGCAGCGTGCTTTCTCAACCCGTACTTATGAGCATCATCCTCTATTTCTTCCACCAGCTGCGTCAATTTCCTAGGTCATAGACCTTAACGTTCAGAGACGCTCAAGGCCTCCAAGAGAAGCATGTTCGCTTGTCATACCAAGCCGCTCTAACTCTCCTATCCACGACGATGAGCCATGTAGGCGTGGCTCGGTTTACTCCGTCCTCGAGAGATCAGTAGCGTTTGTTTAGCCACGTATATCCTTGTCAAGTATAACAATGTAACAACAGGGCAACTCTCTTTATTTCCCGCTTAGTTGGATTATGATTACCAGGCCCATTGATCCAGTGTCATCAGAATGGTGAGCAAGAACTCATACTTGGTTCTATAGCCCTAGTTTCCATACTCATCGCTATCTTTAAGACCAATCAATTGTCCGTCTATTATCCCGACAATGTTCACCATCTTCATGATATGGTAGTTTCCCTAACCATGACATTTATAACCAGAACTAACGAACCGAATTGGACGAATCCAGTGGAAGGACAAGAGCACCAGGGGCAAAGCACCGTGACAGGCCCATCGACAAGGGGATCAATTATACAAACGCACGTCTAGCAATAGCAAACGGGTCGGTTTGACAACTCCATACTCGTTTTACTCACTTAGGAGCTTTGGTGTGTGCCAGCTCACAGGAATCTCAAACACTGAGAAGTTCGTTCGATTAACAGCGGAATGATGTCTGGGAGCCCTACTGGCTCGTAGGAAACCCTCGAACTTCCGGGAAATTCATCTGAAAAGCAGCAGAACGATGCGCTTATTTTCTAGCTCCTGCAGCGTAGCCTCCCCCATGTAAGAAACACGGGAAGATGGTACAGGAGCAGAAAGTCTCACTCGAAGCGCTCGGTTGTGTCCATTTTGCGTTTCAAAAAAAAAAGCGCAAAAGCTATTCGTTGCTAGCTCCAGGGCACACCACGACAACCAAGCCGAAGATGCACAAAACAATCAAAGCCGCTAGATTCATGATTGATCGTTGGATAGGCCGTAAAGAAGGCCGAAAAGAAGCTTGATCAAAACGTGATCGAAATGAACAGTGACTTCGAGGGAGGGGTGAGAAAGGAGTTGTTGCTGCGAGGGAGAGTAAGAAGAGGAAGAGCGCAGTTTGCGATTTCGGCAAATGTATACGCCACTTGCGCAGCTATGGACTGCTTGGGAGCTGTTCGAGAATCCCATCCTACTCAGCAACATGCTCGTGGTGAAGATAATGGGCTTCTCACCTCTGTTCCGAATGGCAGGAGCCATTTTGGTGCTCGAAATTAGAGACCCGCGTACCAAACGGCGTAGTTTCTGAAACGAGCGATATTATTGCTGAAGAAGATGGGTAAATAAGGAACGAGAGGAAAAGCTATCCGTCACATGTCTAAGCTTTGGAAGTTGCTAGGTCTGCCCGATAAGAATCTCAAATGGAGTCGTGATGCTCAAGCAAAGATAGACAGGCAATGGACGATGAAGAGCATCGATGATGTTCACGATAGACTGGGCGATGGAGGGAATAGAGCCTTTTGAACGACGAAAGATCGGGAACGTAGTCCTACGGTGGATGCTATTCGGTTGACGAAGACAATCATATAAAACATGACTTGGAAGCATAAACTTGGACATCGACGAGGGTTATCCCTAATTGTCGAATGATTCGTGACCGAAGACGCCGTCCCTTTATCCTCTGTATTTCTTGTACAGGACATAATATGGACCGTGGCCATTGGTATCATTTAGTAGTGTCATTAAGGGCGTTCAGAAGTCCGCTGGTGTCTCTGCGAAGGTCACCAGTGGCAAAGGGTGCGTACTACAGGGGCACGGAGAGAACGTAAGAAGGCCTGTAATAACATGGTTTTATACGAGATTACGAAAATTACTGAACACCAGACGAAATACTACGAGCACGAACAACACCACGTTAAGAATCATAAGCCATTTTGAATTAAGAATCGTAAGCCATTTTCATTGAGAGCTTTTTTTAACCCTGCGAGTCTAATTCATGCGCATTTCAAAAGTAAAAAAACGACATCATTCATGCACAAAAACCACTCATCCTAGACGAACACCGTTTATTTCTTACCGGCCTTCTGGGCAGCCTTGGTGACCTTGGAGGTACCACCAGCAGACTTCTCGACACCCTTAATGACACCGACGGCCACGGTTTGGCGCATGTCACGGACGGCGAAACGACCGAGAGGGGGGTAGTCGGTGAAGGTCTCGACACACATGGGCTTGGAGGGAATCATCTTGACGATGGCGGCGTCACCGGACTTGATGAACTTGGGGCTGTTCTCAACCGACTTACCGGTACGGCGGTCGATCTTCTCAAGGAGCTCGGCGAACTTGCAAGCAATGTGGGCGGTGTGGCAGTCCAGGACGGGGGCGTATCCAGCGCCGACCTGACCAGGGTGGTTAAGGACGATGACCTGAGCGTTGAAGCTAGCAGCCTCGGCAGCAGGGTCGTTCTTAGAGTCGGAAGCAACGTTACCACGGCGGACTTCCTTGACGGAAACGTTCTTGACGTTGAAACCAACGTTGTCACCGGGGACACCCTCCTTGAGCTGCTGGTGGTGCATCTCAACGGACTTCACTTCGGTGGTGACGTTGGAAGGAGCGAAGGTAACGACCATACCGGGGGAAATGACACCAGTCTCGACACGGCCGACAGGCACAGTTCCAATACCCGAGATCTTGTAGACATCCTGGAGGGGAAGACGGAGGGGCTTGTTGGAGGGACGGACGGGAGGCTCGATGGCGTCGATGGCCTCAAGGAGGGTTTTACCGGTGACCTTGCCGCTCTTGCCCTCCTTCTCCCATCCCTTGTACCAGGGGCAGTTGCTGGAGGCCTCAAGCATGTTGTCACCGTTGAAACCGGAGATGGGGACGAAGGGAACGCCCTTGGGGTTGTAGCCGACCTTCTTGATGAAGTTGGAGGTCTCCTTGACGATTTCGTGGTAACGCTCCTCGGACCACTTGCAGGTGTCCATCTTGTTAAGAGCAACGATGAGCTGCTTAACACCGAGGGTGAAAGCAAGCAGAGCGTGCTCACGGGTCTGGCCATCCTTGGAGATACCAGCCTCGAACTCACCAGTACCGGAGGCAATGATGAGAATAGCGCAGTCAGCCTGCGAGGTACCAGTGATCATGTTCTTGATGAAGTCACGGTGACCGGGGGCATCTGTACGGATCATTAGATATGTTTGTAGGTCAAGGTTGGAAACGTATTCAACTTACCAATGACGGTGACCTCATACTTGGCAGTCTGGAACTTCCAGAGGGCAATGTCGATGGTGATACCACGCTCACGCTCGGACTTGAGCTTGTCAAGAACCCAAGCGTACTTGAAGGAACCCTTACCGAGTTCGGCGGCTTCCTATGGGGCTGTATTAGCACCATGTCCATCCTCGAGCCAGTATGTAGACCAAGTATCCTTACCTTCTCGAACTTCTCAATGGTACGCTGGTCAATACCACCGCACTTGTAGATCAAGTGACCGGTGGTAGTCGACTTACCGGAGTCGACGTGACCGATAACGACGATGTTAAGGTGAGTCTTGTCGTCCTTACTGTTGCAGAGTACCCGTTAGCCATGTTGCCCAAGTAGGAAAAGCTTTTCCATCACTGATAGGGATGAAAGGAGTCGAGGGAGGGAGAGGCTTACCCCATGATGAAGGTTTTTTGTGTTTAGAGACTTTGAAAAGGTCTAAAAAAAAAAAGCTGCTCAGATACTACGGCACGACGCGTAGAGGTACTGAACAACAAGAGAGGTTAGAGAGAGGATGAAGAAGGATGGAAGAGAAAGAGGGAAGGAGGGAAGATATACGTACTGATGCGGACGGGGAGGGAAAGGAAGAAAAAAATTTTGTGGGAGGGGCGAGGAGGGGAAATCCTTATATGGAGGGGCAAGCGAGAAAAAGTCCACTAGGTAAGCGGGCTCAAACCCTTGGCAACCAGCCCTTATCATTGGAGGGGCTGAAAATTTTTTTTTTCAGTCTCTGCGTCTGAGCCCCACTTCTACTGCGGGACCAACGCAGAATCTTTTTTTTTTTTTTTTTTTTCCCTCCCCTCTCTGAGCGGAAAATCCTCTTTCGGACAGTGACTGGCGGCGGGAATATGGATTGCCCCTCCCATTCCTTGGTTACCCTCTCCACTACGGTGAAGGCAAAAAAAAAATTTCTTCTTCGTTGAACCAATACCATTTCTTCCTATTCAACCTCACACTACGGCCCAGAGAAAATTTTTTCTCTCTACATACTCCCGAACGTACGTACTCCGAAGTACTCGTATATATCAAACCGGAAATACTGGGCATCAACGCAGCTGTGGCGGCTGTTGGTTTTGTTTGCATCAGCACCCCGCGGCTGTTGTCCAACATGATTGGTCAACTGGTTATGTGGCATGCCCGAATCGTTGTCCGCCAGCCCCACTGTCCAATGGCAAACGTTCAGAAATTTTTTTCTTTATGCTTGCTTGCCACTTTTTTTTTTCTTGGTCGCATCTGAAGTCACGGGATTGTATCCGGAGCTGCGTCAGGTCTGTATTCCGTATGGGGACCTCTGGAACGGTCCGAACTCGCGTAGAATACGAGTATGGACTGGGATGTGGTGCAAGCGTGATACTGTGCTAGTTCTCCGTGAAGCACCCGGAGACTATCCACGCTGAAACCGATTCCGTATACAGAGTACATACTTGCAAGTATGCGGACTCTACGGGTATCGCTACGCCAAGCATTATGCAGCATGGACAGCGAGGACCTCTAGATAGCTTCGTAGCCCTGCGGGCGAGATACGCGATCTACATAGTAGTATGTACGGGCTGGTGGAAGTAGCAGCCCCCAAAGTACGTGGTCGGCCCTTTGCGAACAATAAAAAGTGTTCGGGGTTATGATAAGAGCATTACCAGCATAAACTTGACGAACGCAGTTTACTCTATAGTGGTATCTCTTAATGAACTGGACTGAATCTGTATACATCGAAGTATCAACCGATAAGGGCGTGTACAAATCCGCATGTATATGCACTAGCCTCTTTCAGTGATGATGTTCTGTGCTCAAGATCCTTATCCTTGCCTCTTACATCTGTTACAAGTCTTTTTCTGCGCCGCTTTTTTTAGACTTTCATGCCCGAAGTGACTCATGTTTGGAACGTGTTCCGAGTAAGCCCATGGTTACCGCCAATCCAGAATAGAGTGATTATTCGGGCCCGGTTTTAAAAAAAATTTCTTTTTTTCTTGCCGCGGCGGATCTGACAACTAGGTTAATGAGGGGTATCTTGCTATGCTATCTCCGTAGAAGCTCCGTAGAAGTACATGTGCATGCGTGTACCAAATAACTTTTCTCCTCGCATATAACTCCCAACAAGTCAAAAGACAGGAAAAATAATAGCGCCGTCCGTTCCTTTCCCCGTTCCCCTCTCAGGATAGACCGGAGTTATTATACGATCGTTTTCGGGGGTTCCGTGCCGAATATCAACCGTTATCGGGTAGCCGCAAGTAGAGGTATCGGGGTAAGGATAGAGTTGAGTATAAGAAGGAAAGGGATCAGTTTTCACGCCATCTCGCTCCGCATGTAGTACACTATCGAGAAAACCAGCTCGTCAGCAAACCATACATCATATGCAACAAGATCCCGAGAAGAACCTACCTTAAGGAACGTAGTCATAGGTTCATCTGCACTCCGAATCTGCAACTGGAAGAAGTACGCCCGGTCCCCATTGCAGTTCTCTGCAGGACATTGCGCTGTACACAGAGTAAGCCTTCCATTCACACAACCAACAATGCGCTCGTCCACCACTTACTGCCCATGCTATCTGCGTTTGCAAACTCTTCCTTGCCGCCGAAGACATCCTCAACCTCCTTCTGCTTCATGGGTGTTTTCTCGGACCACCCGCTTTTCAGGATATATTGATAAGGGCATGTGCGGCATTCGAATCGGTTGACGCCCAGAGGGTACTTGGGGGACGGATCAGCGCGGGAGATGGTTAGTACGTTACTACAGTTGGGGCAGACTATAGAAGAGGAAAGAGTCAGCCTGGTTCTTCAAATTAAAGATTCAATGATTCCTGCGTCGCGGGGCTGTACTCACAGGTCAACGGCATTTTGAAGGCTGTAAATCACTGAATAGGTTAACAGCACGCAGATATATCAATCCAAAGCAATATTCCTTTTCGTCATAAAGCCTGCATCAAGACTGTGGTATCTGATACTCTGCTTTGAATTTGCGACGATAACGAGCTCCTGCAGGCCTTATCGACCAGCTCTGTCGTTGGCTGAATCGGCCGGGCTTGCCGCGCGCCTAAAGCAGCCGTTGGCGCCGCCTGAAACATCGCGGGGCATGTTTATCGGCACGGTGAAATGGTTGATCCGACGGCTGGCGGCATGGGGAGCGACGTTTATGCATTGGATGCTCAGGAGACGTGGAATACAGATAAAGAGTGAAAAAGAAGAGACTCTGTAAATAGCAGAGCCCAGAAAATTTCTAAGCAAGTTAGTGGGATTATATGTGGTCTAATTATAGCGTGGAAAGCATTAATCGTTAGCAAACAGACAGCTTGCCCCGTTCGTTACACCCGGATCCCGCTTACATTTACAATCCCCGAATCGGATAACATCGCTGAATCTATACTACCAATACCAGAACACAATCGAAATGGCGGACGATGTGAGTAGTCCTACTCTACGGCCCCCAGGCCACCAAACTGATCGATTAGGGTGCCTCTCCCCGCGAACTGGTCGTTGAGGCCTGCCGACGAGACCAGCCACATTTGATCGAGCAAGTTCTCGAAGGCATGCAGAGTAAATCAAACGAGGAGGTCGCGGCATTCTTCAACGGCGTGGTAGATGCATTGGGGAACCATGCTCTTCACATCTGCGCCATGTACGGAAGTTGTATGTTGGACTCCTTTGTTTTGGTATCTGGACTAGACATGATACTAACTGATACGAACTTACATAGATGACACAATGGACTCCCTCTTCGACATCCAATACTTCGAATGTGACCCCCTCACCCGCCGCGACCAAGACACCCCGCTCCACACCGCCGTGCGCTATGCCAACGAGAAGGAAGCCGAAGTGGGCACGGAGATGATCAAGATGATGTGCGAAGCAGGCTGTGATCCGCGCGTTAGGAATAAGGCCGGGCAAAAACCGATCGAGTTGGTGTACAACAACCAGGAGGCCAGGGCTGCGCTGCAGCAGGCGGAATACATTCTCGCAGAGGGTCTTAGGGATGATGCGGAGACTGGGTCGGTTCATGACAGTGCGAGTGACAGCGAGTAAGCTGTTGTTTTGTTGTTGTCTTCGTTCTTCCTTTTCTGCTGTGGAGTGTTGGGATAGAGATGGATATATGTATACGACCTTGACGATCACCTTTTATTTCCTTTCTTTGTCTGATACTTTGGGGAGCTGGATTGCGTTGCGCCGATATGCCTTCGTGTTTATATTAGACCAAGAATTTGAGCATTCTACTCCTGACCGAGAAACCATTATATACCAATCCTGGGTATCATTGCAAACATACTATAGTAATTATCGAGCAAGAGCATTAAAGACATCAATCGTCCTCTTCGTCATCATCCTGTCGTCTCCCCCCTTGATCCCCCTCTTCATTCTCGTTCTCGGCCTCAGCAGGTCTCTCAGACCTCCTCATCCCCAAACTCCTCGTCAACCGCTGCTCAAACTCCTCCATCCGATCCCTCTCCAAAGCAGTCATATCCTCCGTCTCCGCAGCCCGTCCATATACCTCCCTCACCAACCCTGCAACACCTTGAATTCCAACCTCCATCTTCCCCCGCGGCCCAACCATATATTCAATAATCTCCTCACCGCCGTCCATCTCCCGGTTGCAGATGAGATAGTTTTCCTTGCAGAGTCGCTGGAGGAGCTTGTCCGTGCGGTCGATGGGCGTGTAGGTGTCTGCGTTCGTGCGCTTCAGGTACCGCTCTAATTTGGACTCCTGTAGCGCGCCGCCGTTCAGCAGGATTACAGCGATTATGAAGCTGTAGATACCGGTGTAGGTGGGCTCCATGGGAGCCTTGGTTGGAGGGAGGATCCGGGGTGTGCGGTATTGAGACGGGAGAGTGCTATTTAGGATCCAGGACTTGTTGCTCGAGGAGGGCTTTTCGTTTTTTTGCGCAGCTGCTCATGTATTAGCTTCCCACCATCTCTCTCACAGTATACTCCGTAGACGCAAGAAACTCACCCCTCCGTTGACTAATTGTAACCTTCTCCTTCCCCGGCAACTCCACCATCTGCATCCCAAACGTCTCCTGCAACGCCTTCTGCGCGCCCTGAAAAACAGCCTTAAACTGCCTCGCCCCCTGCTCCCCCAATACCTTCGCGCTGATATCCGTCCGTCGGATGACCTGTCGCGAGTACTCGCTTGCCAGCGCCAGACGCACCAGTTTCTTCACCATAACGTCTGTGCTGCTTGGCGCGTGGATCGCGTCGTCATCGCTGCTGTCTGCTGCGGATTCTGCGTCGGAGTCTGCTTGAGTGGGTTCGGGTTCGCCGCGGCGGCGGCGGGGTTGTTGGGCGGAGGGGCCGGCGGGGGAGGAGGCGTAGGTGTCTTCGTCTGGTTCGGGGTTCTGTTTGTGGTTTTAGGTAAGTATGCATTTGATTGAAGTGGTTTCGGGTTTGGTGAGGGTGGATGGTGGACGTACGCGACGTTTGCGGACGAGGGGCATTTTGTGTCTTTTGTCGCGGTCTGCGCAAAACGTAAAGATCTAGGCTGTAAATAGTAACTGCGCTTGTAGCAGGGTTGTAGAGTGTACTCGCAAGATACTCCCGATAGTTCAAAGGATGCTCATGGAACGGGTCCTCCGCAGACGCGTTTGACGCGCTTCGTGGTGGAGCCCATTTTATCCGTTTTGGGTAATTCCTATCATTGTTCCAACGACACCCCTAACCCTATATGCCCTGCATCTAATGCGTCCTCGAATGAAATGTATTGAATTTATTATTGCTTGTATTTATCAATAGATCCGGTTTATTTGAAATCCCGTGGCAATAATAACTGCCCGCACGACGTACTTTTCATGCCATGTCCAGAAGTACATATTTATCGAACACCGGATACTTGCTCCGAGCATTTGAGTGTTGATGCACCTGCATTGAACGGTGCGCTCAGATTATATAACCCATTGGCTACAAGAGAAAGCTTGCTTTGACGTCGGGATTTGAGTCATCTACTTGAGCCTTGTTGGCTCGACGGGAAGGGAGAGACATCCAAGTAAGGGCTGTAGGCAAGGAAACACCAACTTGTCTGAACCAGTGTACGTCAATGTGGCCGGTTGCTACAACGATGCACGGGAAGTACAATTTGATATAACATTCAGAGAGTAAATTAACAGTTTTAGTACTTATGAAACAGAAGACCTAAGCAGCCAAGGAGAGGTATATCAGAACTGAAAACACAAGATACAAGCAGAAAACAGCGAGTGAGACAGACAGAATATCAGACAGAGAACAAAAAAAGAAACGCATCGTAATTAGGAAAATCATTCAGTGTTGGACTTGTCCTTCTCTTGCACAGCATCCTTAGCCTGCTCCTTCTTCGTCTGCAACAAAGAGCTAACATAGGCCAACGACTCCTGAGACAAGATAAGACTGGTGGTGATAACGGCCTTGCCGCTCGCAACCAATCCATCCCCACCACACTTCTTATATTCAGTCCCATACAGCTCGACAAGGTGACCCTTCACATCGACCACAATGCGAACGGACCCTTGTGCACCTTCGTAAATTGTAGTCCTCAGCTTGTCCGTATCCTCCTTGATGATGGGGAACCGCGTGTCAATCTGAGACAGCCCCTTGTCGCCCAAAGTATCCGCTCTGACCAGGTACGGTGACACATAGCTATACGGCTTGGACAGATAGGGTAGGACGGGCTTGGCTAGACGGGTGTATCCCTGGTCTGCATAGTGCAGCGACTTTGCAGCGTACTTGTTGCCCTTGAAGGTTGCGATGGAGTCGGAGATGATGGGGTAGGAGGTGAGGTGCTAGACACAGAAGGAGGGGCAGTCAGTCATCGTGCTGCTTTATTATTGGGGGGGGGGAAGGTGTATATTAGAAGGAACTTACGTCCAGGAACTGCGAGTAATGGACCTTCTCGCCATTGACGGTTACTTCTCCCATGGTTGCTTTCTCTGCGTGGGGCATCAAGTCGATAGAGATCTGGAGAGATAGTTAGATATAGGTGACGGAACGATGAGCGAAAGACATACTAAGTAGAGAGATTAAATATTAGGGAAATTATTCGATCAGAAAAAGGACAAAAGACAGAAGGAAGAGATGAAAACTGAGGAAAAAAAGTGACAGGAGAGCAGATTTTGGGGAGGTGATAATATATGAGTTGGTGGTATAGAGCGCATGTGATAGTGGGTCCGACTGTTATCTTCGTTGTATGATGTGCAGGACTTTATGGCGTCAATCAGGTGATAAGGAAACATGGTTAGAGACCAGCGTAATTATGACTTGATTTATTATTACTATTATAGCAAGCATTCAGAGTTGCATTCTTTTCCCCATGAAGCGCATGAAGCGCATGAAGCGCAAGAAGCACAGATTGTGCCATTTTCGCTGAGATAGCAAAAGCAGCATGTGATTGTGGATCCTTCCTTCTTCGGAGAGGCAAATGGAACATGACAGCCCATATCAGTTCACTGACAATGGCAATATGTCCGCATCCGACCAAAAAAAAAAAAAAAAAAAAAAAAAAAAAGAAAAATCAGTGTAGTTCTATTATTATGTTATTTACTTCAAATTGGTGTATTCTATGCCGATTCCCCGGTGAAATTGAGGGGTTGAGGGGTGCATAACGATATATTGCGTTGATCTTTGTGTTGGCAGTTACGCATGCATGCATGCCCTGCAGTACTCGATAATGATTCGTACGGTGCGCCCGGGATGGTCAAGGATAGGAATGGTATATAGGTTGGGGTTGTGCATTGCTATTGTCCCTGAAATCGTTTGAAGTTTGTGCCCTGTAGCAGTAGGGCTGAAGGGATGTCTCTTGTGACGGACACTCAACTACGGAGTACATGGATACCCGACCATATATCTAAGGGATATCTCACAATGGGGCTTACAGATGTATATTCATGGAAGTACATAAGCATCCCCTCCCAAGTGCGGAGTAACTCCAGTCTAACGTCAGATGGATGTTGACAGGGTACATACTCCGCATTAATAAGTTTGCCTGTAGCGCTATTGCTCTAGGATCAATGGCCTGCTCCAGAACGTACTAGACCCAACCGCTACGGAATATTACTGCGCATGATAGGCGAATTGTCTACACTTATATCGAAGATCTCGGAGTCGAAAGCCCAAGCGGTGATGCCGATCCGGGTATTGGCCCAGACTTCTATTTGCCATTAAACGTCGGGACGAGATATCGACTGGAGGGTGACATGGTGGATGGTGTACTCAAGGAGCTCGTAAATAAAGAGGGGTTGGCGCAATCGGATCGTCTGCTGGTTCCAGACTAGTTTGCGATTCGCAAGTTTGTCCGGGCATGAAGAGAACTGAAGAGTAGTAAATGACAAACCGCCAGAGTTGCAGGACACCATAGAGTTATGAACGTTCGTATTTTTTTTCACTCATTTCGACGGACGCCAGTTCGCAATGGCGGCCTTCATTAAAAGAAAAACATGGCCAAGTGTGCGACTTGTTCACCGATACATTCCCAATTCTGCTTCCAGCTATGGTATATCTGTTTATTTTATTCCATGCTCCCGAACCGAATGTGATCGATGCAATTTTATCCCTCGGTTTGCCTCATCCAGGAACCTTGCGCGCTCAAATGACAAATAACGCCCCCGATAACCCCGTTTAGAAACCTGCCACCTGTCAGTATCGACCATCCCAACAAAATATCGGAAAGCGGGTACGTACGCAGAGGAGTGAAGAACCACCGGTTCTTGCCGCTGGTGTATCTGTCCTCAAGGGCCTTCTTGATGGTCTTCTTGGCGTCCTCACGCTGGGAAACCTCCTTGAAGGTCTCGGGGGTGACGGTACCCTTGAGACCCTCGAGCTCGAGGGTGTAACGGGTGGGCATCAAGTGGTTGTAGTTGACAACCTTGATGAAGGGCTTGACGCGGCTGCGCTTCTCGAGGGTCTTCTTGCCCATACGGCGGGTGACCTTCGAGGGGTAGCGCTCGATACCGGCGACGATGGCGTAGGAGAAGGGGTGCGCCTTAGAGCCAGAGTCTTGGGGCTGAACAATGACGACCTGTAAGCGGGGGAAAGCGCTGTCAGCACTCGTTCATTGTATTCCATCCGCATTTCCCTTTTATGTCTTTCGTATCTCCGCCGTCCCATTTTGGACATATCCCAGCTCTTTCGCCAAACTTCCAATTCCAACTCGTATGCCAGCGTCTCGACGGATATCGTTCCTCCAGGATCAGGAATATTGATGTCGTACCTTCTTACCGGCATAACGGCCACGGGTGATGATGGCCACACGGCCCACTTTCATGACTGCAAAACCATTCCTGTCAGCATTTCTGGATCGAAATAGAGAGACCTGTACGAAAAGGTCATAATAACGCAGGCGAGCAATTCAAACGCACACTTCATTGTGAAAGTCCCGGTGAGCGGCAAGGTCGATGGGGTGGTTGTCGTAGTACTGTCGGTCGAGTCGACGTGAGGTTCTCCGGCCTCTTTTTTTTCGCTTAGGTTGCGACCGTGGCTTAGGGCAAAAGACGGGTTTGCGATTGTGGTTTGTGTGCGGGGGTATGATTGGCTGAATAACCGACGGGCTTGAGACCAGTCCTGACTCAGCAATATCTCTTAAAGAGGTTTAGTGTCCGTAGTGAAACCGGAGATCGGAAGAATGTGCAACCGGCGGATCGACTCACCGCCTGCAGGTTTGTTTACCGGACAACGGATCCGTTGCTACGGTGCGGGCCTGATGTGGAAAGCGCAGATTGGGTGTTCAGTTCCACCCGATGTTTTGCTTGGAGAGTTTGTATATCAACTTGGCTCCTCCTACTTGCAGCTCAGCGCTTCGTCCACCTCCAATTTTTTTTTTTGCCCTCCTTAATCTATTCCCTGCAAAGATCACTTTGGTTGCTGCGGTCTTCTTTGCCTGCAAGTCATCGTCGCAATCGATTCGACTCTTGTTTCTCTTAATACCTCTTCCATTGTATGGTTCTTGTTAACGCCCGAATTGCTTTGTTCGGGCTCTGTTTTTTTTTCTCTGTTGTTGTTGTTATTTTTGCTGTCTTCGTTTGTTTTTTGTTTTGACGACTTGCTATGCCCTTACGACCTTAATTCCTTTGACGACCACTTTGTTGCGATACCAAAAAAAGACGTTATTCATTCGTTTCTATTACCCCCGAGATACCACCACCATCACCACCAGTTTCTTGCCATCATGCCTCACAACCGAGATGCCTCCCGTGACTCCCGTGACCGGGATATGATCTTGCGAAGCCAGACAGTGCCAATGTATGTATAACCCTAATCCAGAAACAGTGATTCCATCGAACCTTTACACGGGATGAGGATGAAAACTGACCATTGGGTGCTTCAACTACTAAAGGTGGGATAGCTCGGATCCTGAACGAGCGCCTCCGCCGCTTCCAATTAACCCGGGAACCTCGAGTCCTACAACCAAGTCCAATGTCTCGCCAAAGGTCCAGGCTGTCGCGGCGAACTTTGCGGAGAAGTGCCGGGATAACGTGGCTTCGCCTTACACTACCAACCCAATGCCACCAAAACCGGTGTCACCAGAGAAGTCATTGATCAAGGGCAACTACCATAAGCGCATGCAGTCGATGCAGAACACAGACACCAAGTCCGAGTTCCTCAACTACCTCGAAAGCAAATCGCCCGAGAAGTCGTTGCGCGCATCAGTGCTGGATGCGAGCCCGAAATCTCCGAAATCTCCGAAATCGCCAGAAAAGGTTAATAGGAAGCTGGAGGATGCACCGGCAGACAACCAGGAAGGGGAGCGTGATCCTCCTCCCCATTTCGCGATCAACCACCGCTATCTCTCCAAGCCTATCCTCAACGAACCTACTCCACCTTCGGCTACCATGTTAGCCCTTCAGAATATGCAACTCCCCACCCAAAGTGAGACATCGACCTCATCTCGAAGCAAAGAGAGCAGCCCTACTCCATTTATAGGATCTCAGCCTGCTGGACCGCAAAGCGACCCTGGAAACCCCGGTCTCGAGTCCCTGTCGACGCAGATCCACAGTCTCACGGACATTGCCAGCAATCTGCAGCGTGAGATGGCCCAGTTGAGCCGTCGAAGCAAGGACAACGCTACAGACTTGATAAGTCTGAAAGCTGCAACCAATTCCAGGGACGAAGACATTCGAAAGAGCCTCCGCGAATTGTCGTCGAATTTAACGACCAAGTTTCTAGATGCAGAGGCAACCGGAAAGTGGGATTACACTTCCATTTTTGGCTCTGATCCTGGCATTAGCCACAGGGAGCGCGCCAGGTCTCCAAATGCAAGGAAGAGCCATTCTATACCTCGAATGCCTAGTCCTGGCCCGTTTGCCGCTGCTATGGAACGCGATCTTTGTGGATCTCCAGGGCCGATTTCCGATGGATCGGCCAGTATCGCACTCTTGGAAAAGATTCTGCGTGAGATGGCCACCAGAGAGGGCCAGGAAAATCTTTTGGATGCGGTTGATGAGATGAAGTCGCGCCAAATGGCCGATGGTCATGGAAACGATGCTGATCGAACTACGACCGATATGCTCGAGGAAATCTTACAAACTGTCAAGAACAACTCGGGAAGTCAAGCTCTGGTACGGTCGAAAACTCTGGCCAATCCGTTCGAAGGAAGCTCCGACAGCGACCGCCCCCGGGCACGGTCCCTGGACCCAGAACAGGTTCTAGCGCCCGATATGGAGATCCTCCACAGCGACAGTGGCTCGGGAATGGAGCCACAATATGAGCGTGACCCCACGCAGGAGATGCTGCACATTCTCAAACGAGTCAAGACTAGCGTCATCGAAGGGGGTGGCATGACCAACGAGGTCAAAGCCCTCGTACGAGAATTGCGTGGCGAGGTTCTAGGCATGGGAAGAAATATCGCAGAGAAGCTCGAGGAGGATGAGCGCGCTCGTTCCGTCGAAGGGGGCAAGGCCCAGCCGCTCGCGAAGGAAGAGGTGGCAGCCATCGTCGACGCTAGTCTCGTAGACCTCAAAGAGCTCTTGGCATCGGTTGTCAACGAAAGCCGGGAGAGCTCATCCGCCTTTGCTGAGCTGCGTTCATCGATAAATGGTGATGAAATTTACTCCATCGTTAAGCAAGCCTTGGACGAACAGTCGTCGGCAGGCCCGCACGGCGATGATGTGCGGAAAGAGGAGATCCTCGAGACAATTCGCGAGGGCTGGGAGACATACAAGCCCGAGATCGAATTACAGAACTTTGGTTTGGAACGTGATGAAATCCTCGAGTGCCTTTCGGAAGGTCTAAAGTCCTACCAGCCGCAACATGAAGACGCCGCCACATACGACCAAGTGCTCGCTGCTGTTCAAGCCGGGATGCAGGACTTTGAACAACCCCAATCGATTACGAAGGATGAAATCGTTCAGACAATTCGTGAAACGCTCGCAGGACCCGAGGTTGCTGCTTCCCGGTCATTGGCCGACGAACAGGTTACTCGTATGAAGGATGAGATACTGCAGGCAGTTACCGAATCCGTCACCTCCCAGAATGCCTTGACCAGGGACACTCTGAACTCTGGTGTTGGTCGTGATGAAGTCTTGCGAGCAGTTTCTGACGGCATCGAAGCGCACTTCTCTCCATCGAAGCGCTTGGAACAACCGCAGGTGACCAAGGAGGACGTCACAAATGCTGTCAACGAAGCATTCTCCGCTCGGCACAGCACCCTCAGCACCCAAAGTCACTCCCCACCCGTGACTCGAGATGAGGTCCTTAGCGCCATTGCCCAGGGATTGGAGAACCACAATCCCATTGCCCCGGAGATCGAGCTCAACAAAGACGATCTCATGGATGCTATTTCAGCCGCTCTCAATGAGGCAAGCGCATCGACCAGCAACGGAATTGGAGACAAAGTGCTCGAGCGCTTCCACGAAGTCCTTGGAGGCATGAAGGACGAGTTCAAGCAGTACTCCGACGCTAACGGAAATGAGAACCATAACGTTCTCAACGCTGTCAAGGATGGCGTCGATGTCATTCGGAAGGAGATTGAAGGCTACGCTGCGAATGCTGGTGAGTCTTCCGGCAAGACCGAGATTCTGGAAACTGTCAAGGAGGGCTTCAAACTTCTGCAAGCGGATATGGAGAAGGTAGTCGCTGACGCTTCTTTCGCCAATACGCCCCGTGGTAACCCGGACACGCCGGAGCTTCTGGATGCCATGGAGAAGGAGTTTGAACATCTTCGTCAGTCCATCACGTCCATGCTCATGCGCAGCGACTTGTCGAGCGATAAGGAAGAGATTCTCGACGCGATCAATGATGTCACGCAATTCCAGAAGGATCAGCCCAAGAAGGAGGATCTCGAGAAGACCATCAAGGAGCAGTTTGAGAACCAGCCGGCACAGGATGAGGTGGCTAAGACTATCAAGGAGGAATTCGAGAAGATCTCCGAGACAATGAATACGACTCTTACTGCCCGCTCTGAGCCCACAAGCGACAAAGAAGACATCATCGCTGCTCTTCGCCAAAGCTTGGAGACCTTCCAGGACGAGGCCACTCGATCAAAGAGCGGTGGTGAGGCGCTGCTTCTCAACGCATTCAACGATGGCGTCGGTGCGATTAAATCGGATCTTGCGAAGGTCCTCGACAAGCCGGCCGCCCCAGATGCCACTGATCTTCTAGAGTCGCTCAAGGAAGGCCTCGCTGGCTTGAAGGCCGAAGTCGAAGCGATCCGGAAGTCCCAGCTCGATGCCGACGAAGCCACCGCGAATGAAGGCAAGGAGCTTACGCTTGCGAAAGAAGTCAACAGGAGCGACAATGTCATGGACGGCCTGCGAGTCATGGTCGGCCAACTTCAAGCCAAGGTTGAAACCATCGAGGCTCCTCCAGCCCCCGAACCCACTGAGGATGCATTGAAGAAGGATCACTTGGATGAAGTGGTCGAAGGTCTCAAAGAGCTCAGGCAGTCAGTGACTAGCATCCAGGCTCGCGAGATTCCTGCTGCTGATGAGACTGTCGCCAAGAAACAGGACACCGATGCCATTGAGGAGCTGCTTCGCAACACAAAGGCTCAGCTCGATGAATTGAAATTCCCTGTACCCGACGAGATCGCCAAGTCAGAGCAGATCAGCACTCTTGAAAACGTCGTCAAGGAAGCCAAGGACGCCATTGGCGAGCTCTCGAACCGAATCGAATCTGAAGGTCCTACCAAGACCGAGATTGGTACCCTGGAGTCTCTGTTGAAGGACATGTGGATTGCCTTTGATGAATTCAAGAGCAAGAGCGAATCGAAGGAAGAGGACCCGGAGAAGTTGGCCAAGTCGGACCTGCAGACCGTGGAGGCCATGATCTTCGAGGTCAAGACGCAGATCGAAGAGCTCAAGCTTCCTGATGTCGAGACCTTGCCCACCAAGACTGATATCGAAGGTCTTTCCACTCTCGTCACTCAGTTCCGTGAGAAGACTGAGGCGGACAATGAGCTGACTGCTCAGCGCTTCGATACACGGAAGAGCGAACATGACGGCATCGCTGAGAAGGTTGATGCAGCCAAGGCTGTTGTCGAAAAACTCGGTGATGAACTCAAGAGCAAGCTGGATGGTAGCGGCGAGGGTCTTTCCGAGCTCAAGCAAGTTCTCGGTGGCCTGGCTTCATCGGCTCAATACTTCACTACAGTGGAGAACATAAAAGAACTGTCTGACCTCATCACCAAAGAATTCGAACAAGTTCGGAGTGACCAGGAAGCTAGCAAGTCGGAACGGGAAGAGAAAGATGCCGTGGCAGTGGTCAAGCACGATGAACACCGGGCCGCCGTCATTGCCGAGCTCGGCACCAAGATCGATGAAAAAGTTGGCGAAGTTGTGGCCAAGTACGACGAAGCTCAGAATGCTATGGATGCCAAGTTTTATGCGACGGAAGAGCGAGACAATGCTAGCCTCGAAGCCATTACCAACACCAAGGCTCTGGCGGAGGACATCAAGCTTGTGATTGGCGCCATGGATAATAGTTTCAACGAGAGTTGCGAGCGGATCAGCACCGATACGAAGGCGCTCTTTGAGAAGGTCGACGAGTCATACAGCCAGGTCAAGACGAGCCAGGAGCAAGCTCGGGCAGACGCTGAGAAGACTGCGGCCACTACTGACCGTCTGGAGACTGAGTTGCACCAGTTCCATCCCCAAGTTCTGGAGGGCGTTCAGGAAGTCCTTACGGTTATTGGTCAACATTACGGCCACTCCCAGAGGTCTACGCAGGATATCAAGACGGATATCTCTTCTCTGCCTTCGTCCATCGTTCGTCTCCTGCCGCCGGCCCCCGAGGTGTACGATGATACCAAGGCCCAGGAGAAGCTGGACAGCCTCCTCGGGCATGCACGAGATACTCATGTTCAGGATGCACTCAATGTTATCGTCGAGCGTGTGACAAGCGAGCAGGTTCATCAGAAACTCAACCAGCTCATGAGCCACTCTACGAGTACCAACACCCAGGTTTACGATAAACTTGAGGAGTTACTTGGCCATGCTATCAACTCCAATGGGCCGGTTCACGACAAGTTAGATACGCTTATTGGCCACGCTACAAATACTGATCAGTCTGTCACGCAGATGATGAAGCTGGACGAGATCCACAAGGACATGATGGAATCGTCCCGCCGCATGCAGGAAATGCTTGTCGCCCAGTCCGCCATGATGGCTGAAAATAATGACCGGAAGCGCAAAGAAGCGGAAGAGGCCGCCATCGCATTGGAGCGCAGGAACGCAGAGAAGGAGCAGGTGGAAGCAGAGATCGAGAACTTCCGAGACGAAAAGGAGTCCCTACTCAAGATCATCTCCAGTCTGAAGTCGGAGAAGGAGGACCTTTCCAAGCAAAACGCGAAGACGAGCAAGGAACTGTCCGGTCTCGAAATGGCGCTCGAGCTCCGTAACGAAGAGATGCAGGTCATGGAGGAGCGGGCCGAGAGTCTCGAGAAGCGGATCCTGGAAGGTGTTCTCGACCACGCTCGCAGCGTCCTTGTCAGAGGTCCCAAGCGAACGAATTCCAAGCGTGCGCGTGGTACCCGGGCTCGTGGCCCCAGTGCGTCCAACGGGAGCAAGGATGGCCGTGGCAACGGTGTTGGCATGGCCTTGAAGAAGCGACCTTCGCAAAAGGAATCCAACAAGGAGCGAAGGATCTTCAGTCTCAGCCACGTCACCGGCAACCGTGGAGCTGCAGGAGATCGACAGGTCAGCAGCGGCAGTGGAATTGCGAGCTTGAAGCGAAGCCACTCGGTCAAATCCAACATGTCCCAACGCAAGTCGTCCTGGACCATTGCCAACAAGGAGAACGACGCGTTCCCCGAGGGCGATGAGAGTGACGCTGGTACGGAGCGGAGGACCAGCTACCTTCGCAACGTATCGGACGCCGAAGGTGACGATGATGATGCACAGACGACCAAGGGCGATGACGAGACGGATGACCTGCTTGGTCACTTGGACGAAGAGGCGAAGCGGTTGGTGCTGTACAAGAAGCATCAGGCGACTGACAGTGGTGTCGGGACGGAGATCTCGAGTGGAGCAGAGTAAAAGGTCGAGTGATTGATATTGCTATGTTTTTATGTTTGTTTATGATTCTGTTCTCTGTTTATGTTGTTCATGTTGATATACCACCCTATACCACCCTGCACCTGTTTGGCTTTTTGATGTTATTCGATTCCCCCCCCTGTGTTCATGTTTATTATTATTATTATGACCCTTTCCTTTGTTGTTCCCTTTGTGTAACTAGTCCCCTCGACCTTGAAGAATAATACAATCCCCCTATATTATTGAATTTACATGTCTATCCTTGTAGTCCTGTACAATAGACGTGTCATGTGAATATGCTGTAGCCGCCCCAACGGATTTCTGCCTGAGACTAGCGCCTGAGGATAAAGGCAGCAACTCAACCCAGCCTCGGCTGGGCTGATAACTTATTTAACGTCGGAATCCCGTCAGCCTCCGGTAGCTCCTGCTTGACTTCACTGCCGTGTGCCAATATCATGGCTGGAGAATTCTCCGTCATTTAGCTGAAAATTCACTGTTTCTGTTTATCTGATCTAGATTCAACGGCATAGAGTGACGCTGGGATATTCCCTGTTCAACTCTACCATCGTCATCATAACAACAACAACAATACTCGATCTCTACACCGTACAACACCCCAGGTCGGGGGCAGCGACACCACCACCACCATGCTAGACCCTTTCCCCTCATCCCCATCATGGCTCCGGGACGCCGTCGAACCCTGGGCCCTCTACTTCAACCTCCCTACGATAACCGACCACATCCATGAAGTCATTTTCGCCTTCGTCTTCTACCAATTCATCCATTCCTACCTCTCCCCATGGCTCTCCCCGGTCCTCTTCCCGCAGCACTACCCGAACTTCAACAAACGTACCAAGTTGAACTGGGACGTGCATGTTGTGTCGCTCGTGCAGAGCACGGTGGTATGCGCTGCTGCCTTGTGGGTGCTGTTTACGGATAAGGAGCGGAAGGAGATGAATGCTGGAGAGCGGATTTATGGGTATACCGGGGCATGTGGGTTGATCCAGGCGCTTGCAACGGGGTACTTTATCTATGACTTGTATATCAGTTTGGTTTATGTGAAGATGTTTGGACTGGGGATGGTGTTCCATGGGGTTTCTGCGCTGTGGGTTTTTGCGCTTGGTTTTGTGAGTCTCCTCCCCCCTCCCTTCCGAATATATGATCAGTCCCGGATCTGGTTGCTAACTGTGTTGCAGAGACCATTCGTCAACTACTACACCCCCGTCTTCATCCTCTACGAACTCTCCAGCCCCTTCCTGAACATGCACTGGTTCTTTGACAAGGTCAACATGACCGGCGGCAAAGCCCAGTGGTACAACGGCATGGCCCTGCTCTCAGTCTTTTTCTCTTGCCGTCTCGTCTGGGGAACCTGGCGCTCCGTCCATGTCTACAGCGACATGTGGCAAGCCCTAAGCCAGACGTGGTCTGCGACTGCCTCATCTGCATCGACCCTGGACCCCGTCAACATCAACGCGCACGTATTTCAGATCCGCGATGGGAATCTCTGCGTCGATGAGGCGTGTGCGAAAGCGCAGGCGGAGATCTCGAAATACTCGCATCACACTGCTGCGGGAACGCCCACTTGGCTTGTTGTGACGTATATCCTGTCGAATATTGTGCTCAATTCGTTGAACTATTACTGGTTCTCGAAGATGATTGAGACCGTTCTCAAGCGGTTCCGGGGCCCTGCTGCTGCTCCTGCCAAGAAGGAAGAGAAAGAGGTCAAGGAAGAGGAGAAGGACATCGTGCTTGATGCGGCGACGAAACTTGAACAGGAGCATGATGGTCTGTTGCTTGGTGAGGAGCAGAAGTCTTCTGCGCTGAATAGCAGTACTCTTAATCTCGTTGAGGATTTGAGGAAGAGGAAGGTTGGTCCGGTTCCTAGCTAGGTCCGTTTTCTTCCTTGAGCCTTCTCTGAAGTTGGGTGATGGTGTCTTAGGACGGCTTATATTAAACATTGCTAGTTAATGGATACGGATTCAAGATTCGGGATTTGGGATCGAATTGATGAATGATGATTGATTGAGACTATGCCTCGCTTAATCAGAAAGTTTAGTGTTTACTGTTAACATATGGCTTTTTTAATCAAAGTAAAAGCTGAACATCGATTCCTCATTCAATGCATAACATTATTAAAGAAAACAGGCCTAACACCAACTGAGCGCCTCCCCGAATACATCCATTTTATGTTTCCCTTATTACCGGCGGAGGTCAAAACCAGAGACAACTAGGTATAAAAACTGCAAATCAAGGTACATACAAACGACAAATCTACCTAAGCCCCATAGCCTCCGGCTTAGCCAGCATATACTTCACGGCCTCCCTCGCCACAGGCGTATCCCAAGCACCCTCAGAACCACCACGTCTAAACTCCGGCCCACTACCATCCTCACCACCACCCCGTGTCGCCTCGCCAAGAATAGTCTCCATATCCCTACGCTGGGAGTTAATCCAGCGCTTGACAAAGTTGGCGGGGTCCTTGGACAGAGCGGTGTAGAAGGAGTGTTTTGCGCGCGAATGCGTAAGCCCCTGCACAATGAGCGCGACTTGGTCGTCCAGGGAGGCGATCTGGCGCATGCCGGCGGTGTATTGCGGGTTTTGGGTTAGGGTGAGCATTTTTGTGCGCAAGGGGTCTTCGACTGCGACTTGGATGTCGTAGATTGTTGGGGTGGGGTCTTTGTGGTAGTCTTCGTCGACGCGGATGGTGTAGGGAAGTTTGATGGGGTCCATGGGGGAGGTGTGCGGGCCGATGCTTTCGGGGATTTGGGGGAAGAACATGATGTCGCGGCCGAAGATCTGTGCTTGTTAGTACGAGATACATAAAAACATGAAGGGGTGGGTGGACATACTGCTCGCAGGCGATCATCACAGCGCACTTGACGCTTTTCTTCATCCTCCTGTAGGCCCATGGCACGGATGTAGTCCCAGATACCCAAAACAATTCCGCTTCGTGTTTCCTCCTCAGTATCCAGAACATTCGCAAGCTCCTTGCTCAGCTTGAACCGCTCAGGCGTCTCATCACGGACGAGACTGACGGTGACATTTAGATTGTCCTGTGAGCCGCGGGAGAACTGCAGACAGTCAAAGTCCGCGTTAGCAGGCAAAGAGGCCGTAGCATTCGGTGGTAATTGCGGCTTGTTCCAAGTAACAGTTCTCATCTCCTCCGGGGTAACCGACGATGACTTGTCAAAGTCAACGGTAATAGTCTTGAAGAATTGCGAAAACCGCTGCTTGGGTCGACTGGACTCCTTTTTATCCTCGGGTTTCTCTCCATCGTGTTCCATTTCATCGCCCTTTTCTTCCTTAACTTCATCCTCGTCAGAGTCATCGGAAGGCGTAGACTCGTCGTTGTCACCGTCCAGCAACCGTCCTTCAATCTTCACCTTGTACCGTCCCGAGCCGGGTGTATTCCCGGGCTCACCTGCAGCATCCTGCCACGGCTGGTTCTCGACAGTGTTGGATATCCAAATGCGCATCGTCCGGTACTTCTTCACCGTTTTGCTGATCGAATCCTGGATGTCCAGTCTCTTGCGGACAATGGAGGCATCCAGGCGCTTCTCCAGATCGCGTAGGTTCTTGTATTGCGGCACTCCCTCACCGATCACAACTTCTTCAACGCCATCCGGGATGTTCTTGTCGGTGGGTTTGCGGCTGCGACGCAGGACGGCATCGTTGGGGTGCGGCATGCTGCGCTGAGCAGGCATGTATTGAGGATTGACTGGCTGTTGGGGCATCGGCATCGGCATCATGGCTAGTTACGAGAGAAGAGAATAGTGTCAATGGGAAAAAGTTTATTTAGGCATCGGGGGAACCATAGAACCAAAGGGGTAATAAGCGCACCTGGGCCGGGAGGACCGCGACGAGGCGTGGCAGGAGACCGCTGGGGGATGCCACGGGCGTAGTTGGGCTGCACTGGCACATTCATTGCGAGTAATGAGCGAAATAATCTAAGGCCACGTGCCTGATACAAATGCGATTCAGACCAGAACTGGGTTCGTGGTGAAACTGTACTGGGCGAATCCGGGATGGAGAGCCTGCGGTGATCTCTGGAGAGTCGCGATTCTTTTGCCGCGGTCACGCTTTACCCTTTTCGGCAGCTAGCCACGACCATACTGAATGCTCCGAATACGCCGAAGAAGATTAAATAGAAGTTCATATTGAGCAGCTTATGATTGTCTAGATTCATAATGACTTATAAATTCAACTGTATTGCTACCTTATTCCCAACGTAAAATTATGACCTTTTCACTCCAGCAGCGAAGCCTGGTTAGTGTACAGTGCTTCCACTACATTGCTCAACTTCGCAACAGTGTCCAGTGCAGAATCGTAAGCCTGGTCACGATGAGTTTCATCATAGATGATAAGACATCCGGAACCCTGATCCAACACGCCAATGATCACCTTGTCCAGAATCATCTGAGACAGCTTTCTCTCCACTTGTTGTGTATCCAACCCGACCAACTTGGCAACATGGGCCAATTCCACACGGCTAAAAGGCTCGATAACCTTGATTAGGTTCTGCTCCAACATGGCATCGTACAGTCTCCGGAGATGGTTTCGGATAAATACATCGCTGCCAAGCTCGAACCGGTAGTTCGAAAGTGATTTCTCGTATTCCTCGAGAGAGCGGTTGGCGTGGGCACGAGCGACGGCCTTCATGGCCTCGAGCCGCGGGCTCGCGTACTTCTGTGCCGATTTCGATCCCAGCAAATTCGTAACGTCGTCCACCGAATTCAACATGATCTTGCAGAGCAACATGTATTGGAGAGCCGCGGTTGCCATGTCGGTCTCGTCGAGCGAGCTATATCCTTCCATAGCTTCAATAAAGTAAGAGAACGAGGTTTGAAAGTCCTTATCCTCCGCATGTAGCATACCGCTCTGCATATCCAAACCAGCCTGCAGGTTGGGGTTCGTGTAGACCGACGCAGCCGATGTCCGGGCTGCCGTCAAGGCTGCACGTGCCTTGGTTTGGTTACCCAGAGCATGGTACACGCGAGATTCCAACAGCTGCACCTCGACCAACGCAAGTTTGTCATCCAGGCGCTTGAGTTCGCGGAGAAGGGGGGTGATAAGATTAAGGGCGTCGAAGTAGGCTTGCTTCTGCATATGAATGGCAACCAGGCGAGTCTGGAGGTTCTGTCGAAGGAAAGATCGTCGCTCTGAGATGGCCCAGTCTATGCTGGATTTGATCACGTCACTTTGGATATCGAGCGTGTTGGGGATTTCGCTGAACAGGTCCAAGAGCTGGCGAACTAGATAAATAAACAAGGTCAATTTTCGGATCCCATGTGGTTCAAGGTATTTCAATCAAGCTTACGGAGCTTGGCCGTCTTTGCCTTAGCAAATGACGAGAAGGCAGTACGGCTGGTCTTAATGAGCTCTGCAATCTCATGCGGCTTCTTCGTATCCCGGTAGAGCCCTCCCAGCCCAACCAACGCACTCTCATAATCACGCGACGAAGCCTCTGTCGTCCCCGGGCCTTGAGCAAGAATCTCTTTATAAATGCTCTCTGCCTTTGAGGGGTCCTTCGCCGCGAGAGCCCGGGCTTCCTCTGTCCGCTGAGCGGCGACCGACGAGGGCGCCATGATCGATCAGGTATCGGAGAACGGGTAACAAAGGTGAGGCTGATAAATTGCTGAATGGAAAAATGAGTGTAGCAGATGTCCAAGGGGTAATGGAATGATAAAGACACCTGTCTGGGAAGAGTGGAAGCTATGCGTCTGATGCTTTGCTTGCATCGTCATTTCGCCCAACTTGGCTGGCCCGTTGCGTCGGCAGCTACCCTCACCGCCTTCCGCTTATCTCAGCAGGAAAAAACCGCCGCTGGAAATTTTGATAGATTTTTGGATGGGAAAACAAATTCTACAACAAGAGATTCCACATAACTAGAGCGCTATGGTGAGTTATAATTCAATATACTGGTAGCGCATTGTTATTTCTAACATGATGACAGAAAATCAAAGCTCTTTCTCGCCCCACAGCCTCTCAGCAGGCCCCGGGATCCTCTGTCGTTCGACAGCCCCGAAACCTCGATCCTGCTCAGCATCCATTCGAACGGGCTCGTGAATATACTCGCGCGCTCAATGCCGTCAAGATGGAGCGACTGTTTGCGGCGCCGTATGTGGGCCAAATGGGCGATGGCCATGTGGATGGTGTATACTCCATGGCGAAAGACCCCAATTCTCTCGACCATTTTGCCAGTGGCAGCGGTGATGGTGTGGTAAAGGTGTGGGACTTTACGACTCATAAGGAGATCTGGAATACGCAGGCACATGAGAACATGGTGAAGGGAGTTTGCTGGACACCCGAGCAGAAGTTGCTCTCTTGCGCGAGCGATAAGACCGTTAAGTTGTTCGATCCGTATCGCTCGTCGTCTGAAGCACCACCTCTGGCAACCTATTTGGGCCAGAGTCCTTTCACCGGTGTGTCGCATCACCGCAGCCTTCCCGCATTTGCTGCGTCGTCCTCTCAAATCTCGATCTACGATCTTTCGCGGCCATCTTCCACACCTTCCCAGACCCTCCACTGGCCCACGAGCGTTGACACCATCACATCTGTTGCCTTCAACCAGACTGAAACCTCGGTCCTTGCATCGACCGCCATGGACCGTTCCGTCATCATGTACGATCTTCGAACCTCGTCGCCGCTCTCGAAGCTTGTGCTCCGCCTCGCTTCCAACGCTGTCTCTTGGAACCCCATGGAAGCGTTCAACTTTGCGGTTGCCAATGAAGACCACAATGTTTACATCTTCGATATGAGAAAGATGGACCGTGCCTTGAACGTGCTCAAGGACCATGTTTCAGCGGTCATGGACGTCGAGTTCAGTCCTACTGGTGAAGAACTCGTAACGGCATCGTATGACCGGACAGTCCGTCTATGGGACAGAGCGAAGGGTCACTCGCGCGATATTTACCACACGAAGAGAATGCAACGGTATGTATTCATTTTCTTACTTAGTCTAGTCACACGTCTTTGCTAACCTACCCAGTGTCTTCTCTGCCAAGTTTACCCCCGACAACAAGTACATCCTCTCCGGCTCCGACGATGGCAACATCCGACTTTGGCGTACCAACGCTTCCGACCGCAGCGGAGTCAAGAGCTCTCGTCAACGCGCGAAGCTGGAGTACGACCAGGCCTTGGTCAACAGATACTCTCACATGCCCGAGATCCGGAGAATCAAACGCCAGCGCCATGTGCCTAAGACTATTAAGAAGGCTACTGAGATCAAGAGAGATGAATTGTCTGCGATTAAGCGACGTGAAGACAATATTCGGAAGCACACTAAGAAGACTGCTCTGTCGAAGAAGCAGCACGAGCGTGAAAAGATGATCCTAACGCAGGAGCAGTAGTGTGTTGTTGAGAAATATGTCAACGTTCGCACCGTCCGAGATACTCTTTCTCCTCCCTCTTTCTGTGAAGCAACTTATCTCTCTTGGACCCGGAAAAGAAATAATCATCTTGGAGAGACGGGGCGGGCCACGGCGTTATTTCCTTTCTCCGAACATCTGCTGGACCGTTGCATCAGTCCGTGTCTACCGATTCTGAATCACTCTGCAAATTTTGAAGTGCTGCTACACGGTTAGACGGAGGACGGGCGGGTGATGCCTTGGCCACAGCATGGTCGATTCCACTCAACCATCGAGCAATTCGTTGAAGACCCGCAGGAAACACTGCATACCATCTGGCAAGCGCAGCGAAAGCGGGCAATCTGATCACACCACCTCTCCCCTCGTCAATAGCCGCCACAACCTCCTGAGCAACTTGGACTGGTTCAAGAATGGGCGCAAAGAAGTTACTCGGCGTTTGGATCCAGTCAAATAACGGCGTTGACAACTGGCCCGTCTCAACCAGCAGCATCTTCACCTTTTCATAACCCCCGGAGACACGCAGCTCAGCCTCCAACGTCTTGTGCAGGGCACTGAGAGCAGCTTTACTAGCAGAGTAGTCGGAGAGTCCTGCCGCATGCAACTGTCCAAGGACCGAGCTGACATTGACGATTGTACCGCCGTTCGGAGCAGATAGCATACCGGGCAGAACCACCTGACAGGTATTGAAAACGGCGAGCAAGTTGGTACGGATGGTCCTCTGGAAGGCTTCTGCTGGTAGGGACAGGAGCGATTGACCGTTGATTTGTGCTGCTGCGCAGTTCACCAATACTGTTGGCGTGCCCAACTGTAGATCGTCAGTATTTATTTGTACATGGCCAAAAAAA